ACCAAAGCCTAGTGATTTACTTATTTTAAATACTGATGCAAGTCAGGATACTTGGGGAGTAGTTCTTCAAGCAATTCCAGATGCATATGAAGAGTTTAATAAGTTTATCATGAACAACAAACCATCTGAAGTTAAATCCTTTATACGAAGGATAACTAAAGATAGTTTGGATGAAAAGAGTGAATCTAATGATTCTATGCAATTAGTATTGGACAAAACCAATAACAAGCAATTACTGTTATCCAAATGGGTATCAGGAACGTTTAAGCAAGCAGAACATAACTATACAACACATGAAAAAGAAACATTGGCTTTTATAAATGCTTTGGAAAAATTTAAACTTGATTTACAACCAGTCAAATTTATTTTTCAAACAGACAGTTTGTATACAAAAGATTTTACAAAATATCGAATAAAAGAATCTTATAACAAAGGCAGACTTTTAAGATGGAGCTTAAAAGCACAACAATTTGATTATATATCTGTATATATTTCAGGAAAAGAAAATTACTTAGCAGATACATTAACACGGGAATGGAAGCACTCAAACCAGTCTTAGAAGATAGTCTAAGAAAGTTGGAAAAAGAGGTAGAAGAGCTCTCTGAGCAGATAAAGAAAAAAGAAAAAGAAATCAGCCAAATAAAAGCCATACTGTTTGAAGAAAAAGGCAAAGAAGAAAAGAAAAATGAAAAGGCTGAAATATCGGAAGAAAAAGAAAAACCTCATTTTGATGAGGAAGAAAGAACAAAAACCCATTATGTAATATTTACAGGTCCTAATCAAGGGATATTTTCCCAATGGAGTCAAGCAGCTATGTTTATAACAGGACAGCCTGTCATACATAAAAAATTTTCTAGCCTGTTTGAAGCAAAAGAAGCGCTAGCTCAGTTCAAGGCAAGCTATGCAGGAAAAGCTCAATCACCAGATATAGTAGCACAGAAGCAAATGCCTATATTAGGCAAGATTCCAAGCAGCAGACCACTCACGATTGGAAGCATACAGTCTAAACAACAGAAAGAAGAGATGACCAAGCTCACAAAAAACATTTTTGACCATGAATTTAAGTTTGTGGTTAATTACACAGATGAAGATAAGCAGACAAGCATTTATCCAGTTGATGGTTCATATCTTGGACCAAAAGCAATCGCTCTACCAGAGGCAGATCCAATGAAAGTATATATGATGTTCCAATCAGGGTTACTGAGTTGTATTTATTTCAGGGATGTAAATATGTTCCAGTACTTCCCGATCAACATCAAGAAGGCAATTTCCCAATACGGTAAGCACGTACTCGGGAAAAAAAAAGGATTCATAAAGATATTTGCCACCACACCAATTTTTGGGGAAGGGGAGAAGTCACAAGAAGTAATACAACCAGCACTCCAGTTTTGTCAAATTGGAATAAGCAATGGAAATTATCCAGACATCGGACAAGCACAACATGGGGACGAATTAATTCAGTTCCTTAATAATTATGTCATAATTTTAAACAAAGGCATTAAGATCAAGGGACGAATTAATTATGCAGCAAAGTCCATTATCATTTGGAGTATGCAAGCACGAGATCCAGCAGAGATAGACATCAAGTTACTCAACAAATATCTGGATACACTAATAAAAATACAATTTGATATTCCAGAAATAATCAAGAAAGAAATCTGCATCAGGCTACAGAAGGAGTTCACAGAAGATCACATTTGTGAATTATGCAACCCAGAATCACAAGGAGAGTTTGAACGCATCCAGGAATGATGTAAGCGCTTACGTCAAGAGGCAATAAGATAGTGGAGAATAATGGAGCAGATAGTGGACAAGATAGTAGACAAAAATGGAGGATCCCACCTTCTTTTTGAAAATTGTCTTGTTATAATAATGAAAAGAATCCTATGCACTATGTAATGGGATGGTGAGTCACCACCCACACCCACTAAGAACCTATAATGTAAAGTAGTCGGCCATAATGTAAAGGGGCAGAGTTGTATCTCTCGCCTATAAATAAGTGCCTCAAACTTCATTTGAGGAGGGAACAATTTGAAATAAAATCCTTTCACATAACATTATTCCTTTCACAAGAATTTATGCTTTCATATATAATGAGTTCCTAAATATTTAGAAAATATAAGAAGAAAGATTGAAGGTGTTAATTGATTAAGCGATAGTCTCTCTGGAGCACTGAAAGTTCTGAGAAAAGGCCAAAGCTGTTAGGCGTCAAGGCCATTAAGTCCAGAATTATGTTGAGAACAGGCGGAATCAGGTAACCCTCATAACAAGTATTCTTACATCTATTGTTATTAATTCCCTAATTCTGCATGGAAATAAATGATTTTTGGAATATGTCATATAAAGAAATATATAGAGATATAAATTGCCTAAAATCATTAATCGCACAAATTGTTTTATTAACAAAAATGTTAAAAGAAAATGAACGAATGTTATTCGATCTAGTTAAAGTTTACATACATAAAGAATGTCCAGTAGAAGATGAAGTTTATTTTCGAATATGTGATGATATCACCTCTTCAAATACCATGATTAAAGAGTTAGTAAAGAAAGTCGAATATCAAGCATCCATTCTAAGTGTTCAAATAAGGCTAAGAATTCTAAATATAAGATAATTAAAGATATAAAATGGAAAACGAATATCATGTTATAGAAAATATAGAAGAAAAAGGAATTTATCTATCAGATATATTATTAGATAAAAAAGTAGTAACAAAAGTAAAGAATAAAGGAAATTTAGATTTAGAAAAGAAAGAAGGAATAAATAATAGTATACTAGAAAAACTAAATAGGAAAAATATAATACATTACGGAATAATGAATTGAGAACAACCGATTAGAATAGAACAAGCAAATTATAATTTTCAAGCACCTTTAGTTGAAATAAATCAAATAGAAAAAAGATTAGAAAAAAATAAAGGAAGGAGATAGGAAAAGGATAAGTTATATACATATAAACACGGTACAAATAGTATTACGATCAACATTTAGAGAAGAAATAAAAACACCTGTAAATATAAGAGTTGAAGATAATAGAATTATGCATAAAGAATCAAGAAAGTTAGGAGAAATAGAAGGAGATTTGGGGTATGGAGTAATTAAATTTAATATATCATTACAATTTCCTATACCATTATCAACCAAGAAAATTAATAACTGTATAGGAATAATATGTAATTTTCAAGAAAAAACATTAATGGAATCAGGAGATATACCTATGGTTGTTTGTTATAGAATAGCCTATGCATTAAGTAATAGTAGTTTAAGTATGAATTACCAAAATCAAGAAAGAATATATACAGAAAAATTATTCAATGAAACCAGTACTATTATTAAAAATGATAGAATTCAAAAAGAATTTTTAAGAGAACATAGTAGACGATCATTTAGTAATCCTACAAATTTAGGAAAAATGAATGAAAATAGTTTATTAAAAATTCAAGAAATTGAAGAACCTCATAGTAGCAATAGTTTATATAAGGGGGATAAAGAAATAGAAAAATTAAATAAACAGGTAAATGAATTAAGCTCATTAGTAATAAAATTAAATAATAAAATATAAAATGGAAAGGAAAGATATAAATCTTGAACTAGCTGAACTAAAAAGAAAAGAAATCAAAGAAATAGATTATTTAATAGAAAAATTAATTCAATATAAATATATAGAAAAGGATGAACAAAAATTAAAACAGTTAGATTATGATATACAAAGACATAAGCAAAAATCTAAAAAATTACATAAAATAGGACCACCTAAAACGATAATATAAAATGGTATCAGAGCTAGGCAATAATTGAATATAAATGAGTACAAGAAGAATATATTTTGATATAGAATGTGAAATAAAAAACATAAAAATAGATATAACAAGGTATATTTATTTACATGAAATTACAAATTTAGATTTTTATTATGATATGATGATTATAAGTGAAAGAAAACTAAAAAGACTAATACAAATACAAAAACAAGTAACAATTGCATAAGATACCCATATAACAAAACTCTAACAAAATATACATAAAAAGGCTACATCCACACCAAGTGGGTACTACCCGTATGGGTAGCATCGACTGAACCCTCTTGGAGGGAGGGCTGAGCCGGCAATATTATTTATCAAACCTCAATCTTTTGACCACAGGCACATTTTATTTTAAAGAAAAGTTGGAGGAGTCTTGGAATTTTCATACTTAGTCCTTGCTCATCAAGAAACTTGAAAAGTTTGACATTACCAACTTGGCTTGGTAATGTATAAAACTCGAACATTTTCTTCTTTCTTACTCATCTCATCCTTTGATTCAATCACAACGCCTTTAATATTCTTATTACTTAGCTCAACGATCCACCAACTGGGCTTTCATATTACAAATACTAATAATCATTTGAATTCCATATACAAGTAAGTACTAATTATTAATTCAAAAGCAGGTGGGTTTTGTTTTTTAATCAATCTTTCCACCTTTTGACCTTTTCGTTTTCTTCT